GAGAATTGCTGTTGACCCCTAGACTCCAAGTGAAACGACAACCACTAATAGGGAGGTCAAGAAGATCATTATCTTCAATCAAGTTGTTGAAGCTGCTCATCAGATCAGGGTTTCTTCTGCCCCCAATATAATCATCGTTCGACCTCACCAGGTTGAAATCACCAGCTATGCAAATCGGAGCATCATGATGCTGACAATAATTATAGAGCTCGTTGATAAAGCAGACCTTATCCCTCCTGTCTTGCGGACCATAAACAGCTACAAATCTCCAGACTTTGGTAGACATAACATCCATAAATTCTACCTCCAAAAATTAATTACCACTGCTGCTTGACAGAAATTGGTACCGGTTCTTACCCCAACAGATCACTATTCCCCCTGAACTGCCAATAGAATCCTTCGAAGCCCATCCCATATCTCTTCTACCACAAACGCTTCTAATCAGGGAGTCATTACACTCGGTCCACTTGGTTTCAACAAGAGCAATTATATGAGGGCTCCGTCTGCTAATCAAATGCTTGATCCGGCTGCTTTTGCCCGAGTCACAGATACCTCTAACGTTCCAAACGAACACTGAATAATTCATTAGGTTGAAGAGTTAGGAGTAATCACACCTGAGGACTTCTTGCACCTCCTAGGGCCTAGAGGAGGGGGAGAAGAGGGACCCAGACGTCTCTTCTCCATATCGAGCTTCGACCTGGGATTTTTAATCTTCTTCTTATGCATAGAGTCGGCAGCAGAGGAGATTATGTCTACTAGATTGCCCTGACCTTCTTCTTGTTCTAGCCCAAACAAATTACTAATATTAATCGCACAGTTGGCTAAAGTCGCTGAATCGAAAGGGTATTGCTCCAAATCCCAATTCGTTTGATCAAAACCACTGAAGCAAGAGGGAGAAGGTAGTTCAGGTGAAGCAGGGGATGAGGTTAAAGCTGGGGTTTCGGGAACAAAGATTGAGGGAGGCGAGGAGGGGAAAGAGGATGTCTGCGAAACGAAGGATGAATAAGAAGGAAGGGAGAGGAGCAAGGGTGTTTGGGAGGCTTGGGATTCAGGATCTATGAGAGGTAATGCTGGGGAAGGAGGGTTCGAAGGGAAGTCTGGGGTTCTGTATATTAAAAGATCGGACAAAGGAAGGGAAGGGGAAGTGAACCTTACTCTCAAAAGATTAGAGCTGCGAAGGTCCACTGAAAAACAAAAGGGGATAGGAGGATCAGGTCGAAGGTAAAGGTTGATAAACAGGCTGAAAAGGGTGGGGCAGGGAGATGGTGTTAAAGGAAGGGCTGATACAGGCTGAGGGGAAATGACTGGGATCTCTCCATGCTCCGGCTCAAAAGTCAAACGTGGGTTGAGAACGGCCCATCCAAATTGGGCCAGCTTTGCGGACCCATGTCTTAGATGAAGAACGATTGGACACAAGGCCTCTAGATGGCGGACCGACCGCCGCCTTTATGATGATTCTCGATGCAGCGTGCTGGACGTGGTTGCATGGAGGGCTGCGAGCTGCGGAAACCGAGGAAAGACGTTTCACCTTCTCAGTTTCAAACGGTTCATCACTTTGCCTGAGAGATTCACCGGATGTACACGCCACCGGTGGCATGATCACCTTTGCCGTGTAAACAACTGATCCTCCTGTTCTTCCTAATTCTGATCCGCACAAAATCTAAGCTCCAGGAAATCCAATCCACTTCAACAAAGGATCCACAAAAATTCCCAATGGTTACCAACAGATCTACACTCTTAAGGTGTAAAGGGATGCCGAAGACCAAAATCCAAATATCGTTTGAATTCTTCGGTGAAGCGTGTCCTTACAAATCCAAATATCATACGTATGTAATATCAAATAAATAATTTTGAAAATTCAAATCCAAAATACCAAATTCAAATTATTTCATCCAAACACACTTTTATTGTCTTTCTGAGCTTGCGACTTGCTTCTTTAAATGGCTTTTCAGAATTCTTCTCGAGTGAGTGCTGAAGCAAAGCCCTTGCACCTGAACTGGAGAGGCAGCGCCTAAAACAGAACCCTTCTTCTCCTACATTCTCTTTGTCTAATATATCTTAGGGCACATAAGCATCTGCAGATAATTTAACGTAATTCAGAACATGCATAGATGTGCCATTTGAATACCCGAAGAACGAAAGCAAGAAAACATTATCTGATCGCATAGATCATCAACCCATATATATATACACGAGCACATATACAAAAACTGCCACATCAACAATTGAAATGCTGTGAGCAATTTCCGAAAGGGCAATTCTGCCAAATTGTCCAGCAGTTTCAATGAACGGGAAATTTAATTAGAAGTTTAGAACCCATAAAAGTAGAGAGGAGCCTTATTGAACATACATTTGGGCCATGCCCCGTTAAAAAATCCCACAAATTTAAAATTTAAAATTGCATTCCACTTAATAAAAATCAATAAAAAAAAGCCAGTTTCACTCATTTGCCAACAGTCTCTTTAATCTTGACCAAGGTTGTCAACCAGCGGGTTGACCCGAACCCGGTCGAGTTAGTGGGTCAATGGTTAACGGGTCACCCGTTTTAGCTTGGAAATATGGAAAAAATTATTATATTGTACTTATCCTGATAATTTATATTAAATCTCATCTAACATATGAGTAATAACATATAACATTACACCAAAGTAACATGTCGTACTTATTCTAACTTCTAATGAGTAAAACTCATTTCATAATTTTCGAAGCTAAATCATAAAATTAATTTAATCTAAACATAACAACAAAAATTCTAATTTATCAAAATATTTCAAAGTACATCTATATAATAGGTGTGAACGCATGCATATACATATGTGAGACGCATGCTAGCCTTTGCCATAAACATATATAAGTTACTAAATTTTCAATTGACGGTAATATTTTAAATTATGAAATATCATTGCAAAATCATTGTGGTGTCTTAAACCTATGGCTGGTGTGGTTTATAATGGGGTCATAATACATGAATTTGAATGTCTTTGTTGGATATATTTTATTCCAGACTCTAAAACAAGATATTAAATTGTCCAATGGAAGATAATAAGACTCAAGATAAGAGAATCAAATAAAGTTCGAGTGGTAAGTTAAATGAAGAGAATTTTGAATACAAGTCTATGCTTAACCTAAGAGTTGAGATTGCAATATTAGAGTTCACCACCATGAGGCGTATACACCTATATATTGACACTTACTTTCATGGTTGTCAAACAGTGATTCATTACTGAGAAAGAGAGGTGGAGAGGGATTGAGAGAAAGAAGGGAGAAACCTATTGACACTTACTTTCATGGTTGTCAAACAGTTATTCATTACTGAGAAATCGAGGTGGAGAGGGCTTGAGAGAAAGAAGGGAGAAAAATGGAGTGTAAGTAAATGATATAAGATAGATAATTTGACATCTTTGGGTAACTAAATTTATTGAGATGAATTAGTTCAAAACATGAAGAAGAGGAAAAGAGATATAGAGAGGGAGAGGAAGAGGAAGAGGAAAAATTGAGAGGTTGACAAGTGAGCAATAAATCTTCAATAAACTGGAGTATTTTAAACAATGATGCATTATTGTAAGAGTCGAGATTACAATATTAGAGTTCACCACCATGGGGCGCACATGTGCATATTGGTGCTTACTTTCATAATTTCATGGTTGTCAAACAATGATTCATGACTAAGAAAGAGAGGCGGAGAGGGCTTGAGAGAAAGAAGGGATAGGAATGAGGTGTTATTAAATGATATAAGATCGATAATGGAACATATCTAATAACTCAACTTATTGAAACTAATTTATTCTAGATATGGAGAAGAGGAAAAGAGATATAGAGAGGGAGGAAAGAACCGGGAGGACGACAAAGAGAGCAATGGAAAGAGGTCAGGTGGTTGTGAACGTTAGGGTGTAATTTTTTAACTTTATTATATGTTGAATGAGAACATGCAAAATTATGTTTAGAAATCTAAATTAAACTCCAAATTTTAAAATTTTAAATTCATATCTTACACATATATTTTTGAAATATGTCTAAAACTGATAAATAGGTTGGAAATTGATCCGACTATGGAACCTTAAAACCACTTACTTTATTAACTTAATAGTTTAAAGGGCTAATACCACTAGGAAACCCGAACTATTAACTTTGTGTCATTTGTGTCCTAAAGTATTCGATACGACATTTGTGTCCCAACCTATTATAGTTTTGTATCATTTATGTCCTGACGATTTTGTTGACCGTTATATATAACGGTTGACCAAACGGAAGTCAACATTAACATTGACTTTTGTTGACGTGGCAGCCACGTAGATGCCACGTCAATGACACCTCATATTTATAATTAAAAATTAGAAAAAAATTAAAAAAATGTAAACTTAATTAATTAATATTGTTTCTAAAAATCGCCAACACCGAGAAATCCTTCGCCGTTAACAACTCCGGCAACATCTCCGTCCTCCCCCACGGCAGAGAAACCCTCCCCCACCAAGAAATCGATTTGCTCAGATGCCTCTCCTCGCCATGAGCTGCCTCTGTAAAGGAAACCCAGATGCCTTCCTGGTCTGCAATTTCCCTCGCTCTCCTCGCGAGGAAGCTCGCTCTCAACACGGTGATTGTTCTTGAGCAGGAAGAGGAGCTCGATTTGGTGATTCCTCTCAGCCAGAAGTTCTCAATTCGCCCTGTAATCGGCGTTCGCGCCAAGCTGAGGACTAAGCACTTATCCCCTGCTTCTTCCATGTCGCCGCCGCCATGGAAACCAAATCGATGAACATAAACCTGCAAATCAACTGCCCCGACATGAGTAGAGATGAAGCGGTTGCGGAAGAATCTAGGGCCGGCGCTCTCTTGCTCTCTCTTCTCTAGATTTCCGGTACCAGTCGAGATACATTAGCAATCAGCCGTCGGTGAAGGATTCAGAGGAATAAGCAGGTGGGAAGATTGAATTTTTTTTTTTTTTTTGTGATTCAATCTCAGACAGAGAACATTGTAGATCTAACGATGGAGAACATAGATATTCCTCACTTCCTCGACTTCCCGACGCTCGTGCTCAGCCCCGTCACCCCCTTGTCCCTTTGCTCGACTTGCAGCTCTCGTCGAACATCTGGGTCGCGCTTGTAGAGCTCTGTGGCTTTGGTGACGGCGCCGGCGGCTGGCTCTTCAAGATATTGCTCTAGCACATCGGAGCCGCGGCGGAAGATGACGAGTTCGCGACGACCTCCTCCATTGCTGCGCCGATGGTGCGAGTAAGGCGACAGTCCCAAAATCATACGCTTCTGGTGGCGGATCTGTCGAGGAGGAAGAAGGAGGAAGAAGAAGTCCCAAAATCATACGCTTCTGGTGGCGGATCTGTCGAGGAGGAAGAAGGAGGAAGAAGAAGTCCCAAAATCATACGCTTCCTAGTGGATTTTTGTAATTTTTTAATTTTTTTTATATGAATAATAATTATAAATTAATATTATAAAATCCACTTCAGATGCCACATCAGCGCTTACTGAATTTTCTGTTAAGAACTAACGGTCAACGCCGGTCAACTCTAACGGTGAAATAGTTTAGGACACAAATGTCGTATCGAATACTTTAGGACACAAATGACACAAAGTTAATAGTTCGGGTTTCCTGGTGGTATTAGCCCTAGTTTAAATTGGTTGACAACTTTGTTTATATAACACATATTAATACGGTAACAAAACTCATCCGGCCAACTGGCCGGGCAAAATGCTAGTTAATCTTGTATACATAGAATGAACAATTTTATACATGTTTTTAAGAAACTTAACATGATGGTAAAACACATTACCTCACACGGTTATCGTTAAAGTAGTACCAGGCCATCTAAGAGTTGGTTCTTCTGCAGTAACCATTTCTATGTCGACATCTTTCAATTGATGTCGCCAACAACTACCATCTCTGCAGCAGTTTCCCAGTACTCCATACACAATCTCTTTGAAAACATTCTGTTTCTGCAAAAATAAGCGATGGACAACAAGTTAGTAAAATTCGAAACCGTTGCATCTACGTGGGGACGTGAGTTTTGGACTAACGTACGTACCTGAAGTCTGAACCTGTCTCGATCCGTCGGACTAGCATTTTGACCTATGGATATTGTCTTGGGATGGCAGGTCCTCAAAAGACCTTCAAGAATACGGATGGTATACGATGCATCCTCGTCAAAAAGTTTGGATGAGTAGCCCCGCCCGAGTTGTAAACGTTGCACCTCTAGTGGAGGAGAGGATGCCCATTCAAGTAGTTGATTGGGACCAAACACCTACTCCAAATGTTATCATCAAATAGAGGTAACATAGATTATTCAGAAACATGCATCTCCAATAGTAAATAATAGGGCTGACTATTTGGTCCGGACTGTTTGGTTTCACTCGAAACCGGATCGTATAACCCAGACCGGGACCGGATAGCAAACAATCCAATCTCATATTCGGGCTTAGATTTGAGGTAAAAAAACCCGGATAAAGACCGGATAAGAGACCTCCCAACACCTAAAATCAAGGTCAAATTGGGACCGGACCGGGTCAAGACCGGACTGTATCCAATCCAATCTTTGGTCCTTATATTCCGGAAAAAAACCGGACTGGGACCGGATCAATTTGGTCCAATTTCATCGGACCGGACCGTATAGCCACCGGTAATACTAAACATAACGTATAAACGAATCGAGGCATATTATGATACACAAGCATATACCTCCTTTACGCGATTCCATGGATGGAAGTACAAGTTCAAAACCGAGCGGCGAGGGAATTGAGTCAGTGTTGCAAGACACGACCTCAGCCCGGGAAACCAATCTCTGCTAAACGTGTATGGTTTGATGCGCCAATGAACTACACATTGGCAATTGGGAGCGACGTTGATAACATTGATATTATGGACGCCATTTTCGGTATCGATGCAGAGACTGGCCAGATTGGGAGCGTCAATCTCCAGTGGCTCCTTCAACCACGTGTAGGTCAACTTTAAACTCCGGAGCTTGGAGGCGGCTGAGTTGTCATCAATCTTTAGCCAAGGCAGCTGCAACCTGCTAACAACTGCTCTCCCTCCCTTGTAAAAGTCGATCGACTCCAGATGCGGGAAGATGGAGGTGACGTCGTGAAGCCGAAATCCCTGGTAGGGGGCTTTGTCGTCGAGCTCTAGAGATTTGAGATTCGGAACCGAAGCTGCCGACGAGACTGTCACCTTCAGCGCGTGCCAGTAGGCAAGGCCAAGCGTGTGCAGGAGAGGGGCTGAGGTGAGCTGGAGCTGCATTTTGCGGCCATCAGCGCTATCCTGTAGCACGCGAAGGGTTTTCAAGTTTGGATGGGAGACATCCAAGCTGTCGAGCACGTCGTCATAGGAGAACTGCAACTGCAACGTCTTGAGTTTCGGCGTGTTGGGCAGGAGGCAGACCTGTAGAATCTGTTGGGTGATGCGGCAGTAGGCGAGACGGAGCTCCTCGAGGCTGTCGAGGCGTATGTTGTTGTAACGGTTGCTGTGGTAATGGGTCAGGTCGCAACCTGCGAGGCTGAGAAATTTGGTGCGGCTGCAACTCAAAAACACTCCGTCAGGCAGACGATAAAAAAAGCGAGGGTAAGTGGTGGGATGGCAGTGAAAGTAAATCCGAAGCGGGGATCTGCTGCAGCAGCCGTCGTCGTTGGTGGGCAGCAACGACGCCGTAGACAGCAACTCATCCACCAGCAGCTTCTCGTTGTCACTGTCACTTGAGGTTTCGAATGCGATGTGGAAGGCGTCTAGAGGCGGTACTACTGAATCAGGAAGATTCCTCCTCCTCCTCCGCAGCCTCATGAAAGTGGCATTGGCGAAGCTTTGGAACTCGTCTGTAGGTGGCACCGAATCAGGATTCCTCCTTCTCTCTGATAAATACCAAAATTCGACGAAAGGGTAAGTTTGCCAGAGGTGACGCCAGGTTCTTGACAAGATGCTCGTTCTCGCCGCTTCCCGTGGGTTGTAGAGGAGATGAAGGATTTGGTGGATGATTTCCTCAGGGAGCTGCGAGATCCGGTCCTCGTGAACGCCGCTTCTCGATGACTTCTTGCTGGAGATGGTCATGGTTCTCGGCAGCTATTGCGTTGCTTGCGGCGGAGACAAAGAGCAATTGCTATCGCCTATGGCGGATATATATACATACGTGAAACCTAGCTAGGTTTTTTTGTTTTTCTTTGTCCGGCTTCGATTCCAGTTTATTATGATTTTAATAAGAGAATATAACTTGGATGCAATGGCCCGACCGCTTTACGCCGGTTTATTAGGCCCCTTAGCCCGATTGACCACGCGGGTTGAGGGTTAATGGCCCGACCGCTTTACGCCGGTTTAACTTGGATGTAAGAAAAAGATCATCATATTTTTCATACATTTATGATAATGATGAAATATTTATTAAAATGAAACGAAAAGGAAAAGAAAGCATCCGAAACAAACCAGGTGGAATGGTTCACAAGAGTTGAACCACACAAACAACCCGCCAAACAGAGAAAGACAAAGCGAAAGAAAATCCCAAACACAAGAAAGGAAAACCCAACTCAGTGGACCAGCCCACTTATGTTGAGTGAACAGAAAGCAAGAATCACAACACAAACTCAGGCGGTACGAGCCAAGGAGGAAACCCCTCCCAGCAAAACAAGCACAAGACAGCAGGCATCACCACCTACGACACAAGCCGGACCAGGAAGCGAGCCAAAGGAAACGAACCACGACCTCCAAGCCTTCCGTCATCGCCGAAAAGAACACGGGTAAAATTCCCAGGAATCCGAATCACAAATCCAAGAGAAGAAACCCCGATGAATCAAGACACCCGACATCCCAAGGCTTTACCCCAACAACACAGAAACCCAGAGGATTTCGGGCATCCATTAACCTCCTGGCAGAGCATCTTTCAACCAATTCTCTCCTTGACATTTCTCACCTTCCCATGTGCCACCAACCATTCCATCACATTCCTTGTCGCTAACTTGGCCACCACAAATGCAGTCCAAGCTTTATCCTCGAACGTACGACGATTTCTTTCAAGCCACACCCCCCACCAAGCGGAGTGAAGAATGCAATCTCTGAACCACTCGTCAGTGTTATCCGACCTGGACTTGGGAGCGAGATTAACATTCGAGGCGATATCCCTTCCCCGTGGTGACAAACCAGGTTTGTTTCTGCAGAGGATCAACCACACCTCTTTCGTGAATTCGCACTCTATCAGCAAGTGTAATGCGGGCTCCTATTTACAGCAGGACAAGCAACATATGTTCACCATCATCCAGCCTCTCTTCATCAGATTGTCGATAGTAAGGATCTTGTTGTGGTACACAAGCCACATGAAGAAACACACCTTCCCCGGAATTATCGTCTTCCAAATCTGCTTGTCTGGAAACTCTTGAACACCTGCAAAAACATCCTTCACAAGGTTCCTATAGAGGGAACTCAAAGAAAACTTCCCATTTTTATCAAGATTCCACAAAATTCTACAAGGGCTAAGATTATTGTTCCGCCACTCAATATTGTCAAGAAACTTCATCAAAAGGATTCTCTCCCTCTCAGCCCCCCCCCCCCCTAAATTGAATTTGTGATTAAAAGACCAACTCACCAAACCCCCAGAGGGTGAAGCCACGTCGGAAAGTCTAGCTTCAGGGTCGGCGGCGGCGATGCTAGGGAACTGGGAGGCCAACACAATCACAGGGGACCAACAATAGTACCAGAACGAAACAGAGTTCCTGTTACCTGGATCCAGAGAAGCAAACTTCCAGAAGAGGTCGAATTCTTTGGAGATATTAGCCCACACCGAATGCGAAAAGCCATCTCGAGTTTGGGCAGTCTGCCAATCAGAACTTGGGTTAGGGTATTTGATCGCAATCAACTCCCGCCACCAACAGTTTCTCTCTATCGCGAATCTCCACAACCGTTTGGAAAACATTGCATCGTTGAACGCTCTGAAATCATGGATGCCAACTCCCCATTCTTAATCTCAGCCTTGCAAAGATTCCAATCCACAAGAGCCATCTTGTTAGAGTCATCCGCACCACTCCAAAGAAATCTCCTCTGAATTTTCTCCATGTCCTTAATAACCGAATCTGGCGCCTTGAAAAGAGAAAACAAGTATGTGGGCATGCTCGAAAGTACCGCTTTGCACAACACAAGCTTCGCCCCGCTGAATAGGTGTATGCTACCCCATCCGTTGAGTCTGCTATGGAGCTTACCAATCACCGAATTCCACATTGCAGCCTCATTCGGGTTACCCCCGAGAGGAAAACCCAGGTATTTGGGTGGTTTGTTGCTCCACTTGCAACCAAAAATTCTCGCGAAGAAACTAGGTTCCGCCACATCCCCCACTGTATACATAACAGATTTATCGAGGTTGATTCTTAGACCCGTAACAGATTAAAAACACACCATTGTTGCCAAAACATTCAGCACCTGGTCATAATGCGGGTCACAGAAGATGAGAGTATAGTCTGCGAATAAAAGGTGAGTGACCTCTCCCTTTTTAGAGACTTCATCCATGTGAAATCCTTCGAATTTACCTGCTTCCCTCACTGAATTCAACATCCAGGACAAAACATCCATCAAGAGCACAAACAACCCGGGGGATAGGGGGTCCCCCTGTCTTAAACCTTTTGAGGCATTAAAAAATCCTTTAGCTTCCCCATTAATCAGGATAGAAATTAGAAAAGAACACATACTTCCTCTCACCCACCTGGACCATTTCTCGGGAAAGTCCAAAATATGAAGGATTTTGAATAGGCATTCCCAATTCACGTTATTAAAAGCCTTCTTGATGTCGAGCTTGAACATGAGACCAGGCTTCCTACTCCTCCGTCTACTATCCACAAGCTCATTTGCTATTAGTCCTGCCTCGGAAATCTGTCTATCTTTCACAGAAGCAAACTGTTGCTTGGAAACTAATTTCTGCAGAACCAAGCTTAACCTCCTTGATAAAACCTTACTGATCAGCTTATTGATATTACCAATCAAGTTGATAGGATGGAGATCTCTAATTTCCTCAATAGTGTCTTTCTTTGGAGTTAAGCAAACAAAGGAAAAGGTGACACAGTTAGGCAGAACACCCGAGATGAAAAAAATCCTGAAAGGCCTTAAGAATATCCACCTTCAGCCATTGCCAACACTTCTTGAAAAAATCGAATGTGAGCCCATCGGGCCATAGAGCTTTACTACCGTCGATGTCCTGAAGTCCAAATCAAATTTCTTGTTCCGTAAATGACTACTCAAGCAAGCTAAGATCCCCCTCGCCGAGAAGCACGCCAACCATCCTGCTGAGATACAGGCGGTGAAAATTGGTTTCACTGAAAAGGCCTTTATAGAAACTCAAGATGCCCTCTCCGATCTCTTCCTTACTCTCAACCATCTGCCCATTGATTCTTATTCTGTCGATGTAGTTAACCTTCCTCCTATAGTTTGCCGCTTTGTGAAAATAACCAGTATTCCTTTCCCCCAGCTTAATCCACCCTTCCCTAGACTTCTGCCTCCAGCGAATCTCTAGAAGAAAGAGAGACCTACTAAGATCAAGAGCCAGACAAGTTCTCAAACTCTTCTCATCCTCGGTAAGATCACGCTCTTCTTCATTCACGTCCAGATCCATGATTTTGATAGATAATTCTTCTACCTTGGTGTCAATGTTCCCGAACACCTCTTCATTCCAGATTTTTACTTTCGATTTGATTAACAACAGTCTTCTAGCAAGAAGAAAGACGCCTCCCGCTCCTTGAACACTTTCAACATCTGGGATCCTCAAGCCACATATTCTAGAACCTCCACGGTAATCTTTTTGTTCTCCCCCCACCTTAGAACAAGTAAATTGTGGTTTGATTCAAATCTGTCCAGAGCTGTAAGGGTGCAATCTGGGTAAAACATTTCGAATTCCTGAGATATTAGAACCCTGTCGATGCGAGACATAGACTCCCTATTTGATCCGTGACTCCAAGTACACCTGCTGTCACACAGAGGAAGCTCTTGGAAATTATTGTCATTTATGAAAGCATTGAATTCGATCATCATCTCCGAGCTTCGTCTCACCCCGATATAATCATCATGAGTCCTGACCAAATTAAAGTCACATGCAACACACACCGCCCATGTATGTTGGCTGCAGAAAATATTCAATCCAGCGAGAAAAGCCCGTTTATCATGCCTCTCTTGCCGTCCATACACGATAACCATGCCAGGATTTTGAAGATAACTTATCCAAGAGCTCAACAGCTAGAAAGAAAGACCCCTCCACAACTGAAATCCTAGAGAAAAATAACTTGTCCCAAATCACTACTATACCTCCAGAGCTTCTGACAACATTCTTTGCCACCTAGTCTCTTTCCTTTCTAGAACACAAACTCCCAATCAAGGACCCGTTGCAAACATACCACTTAGTTTCGACCAAACCAATAATTTTGGGATTTTGTCTTCCCAACAGTCTTTTAACTCTGCTCCTCTTATCAGTATCCCCAAGACCCCTCACATTCCAAATGCATCTGTTTGTATCCATATCTCAGCGAACATTGCAGTGCCACCTCTCCCTTGTTTGACCTTCCTTGGACCTGTCGGAGGAGAACCCTGAGGCCCCAACCTGAATATCTCCATCTCCATTGGAACGGGAGCTCCTGATCTTTCTTTGATGCAGTTGGATAGCAAAATTGGTGATCTGTCTTTCCAGTTCTTCAAACCCCCCTTCGTTACCCAATTCCAATAATCTCCCCACCGATATGCTTGCTTCGACCAGGGATTCCTTATTAAAAGGAAAAACATCCATATCCCAATCATGACTGCTGACAGAGGTAGCACAAGACGGGGAAGGCAGATCTTGCATAGCTTCAGCGGAGAAAATGCCTTCAATTCTCGGAGTTGAAGGAGTTTCCGGAACGGGAGTCAGCTCAATCCCGGTAGAATCTATCTCACTAAGTTGAGATTCCATGACAGAATTATCTTCCCAGGACGGTAGCTCATCGAAGTCAAAAGATTCATTTACCCTCGCCATCCTATATGGACCTGAAGCCCTCGCGAAATACTCGATAAGTACCAATTTAGGTTGAGACCCAGAGAGGATGACACTAGGAGTC